GTAAGTAGGCTTCCACATCGCTTGGCTGGCTCTATCCATGCGTAGATCTCTCTTACTTCACTAGGGATACATATACTTGCTCTCTCGTGTTGCCAATGCATTCGGGTAAACGGCTATCTAACTTACGTATCTTTTTCTGGCTAAGGTCATTGTCTTACTTGCTTCAGTTATCGTGGCTATTGTCTGTACTTTGATATATACTCATTTTTGATATATTTAGTATTTTTGCTTTAGTGAAATATATAAAACTATTTTAAGCATGTATTTTAAATACTAAATAGTTATAAGTAGTAATTATACCTAATCAAATAGTCATACAAGACTTACTGCTAGCGCTGGGCTGAGATTAATAAATGTACATAACCTTTCCCAATCTTCCTCCTGTACGTAAACATTTTACTTGTTACTACTACTACGGCCTCACACTATGCAGGGGTTTCGTCTCCATGGCGGAGGTGGCGAAAATCTCGGAAAATAAGTTCTTCAGGTGATGAATGCTGACCCATTATATCTCACGTTGTCTCACACTGCGGCGGAAATTAAGTTCGCGTTTTCCCCCCGGCATTGTCGCTCTCCACCACCGCCGCCTTGAGACCTCTGCACTGTGTCCTCGGCAGCCTCGCTCCCGTGCCCGTCCAGGCTTGTTCCAGCCCCGACGAGGCACCGATCGAAAGGTCGGCTGGCTGGCCTCGGGGCCTTTGCTTCTTTAACTGGGCGCTTTAAACTCTATTTTGTATCATGATAAGTATAATTACTGATTGATTAAACATTCAAGGCTCGCCCAGTTAGAGAAGCACAGCTTGGAAATCTCGAAATAGGAATGTTCCCTGCTGAGTGCCCTGGCACCTTGGAATGCCTTGCTATGTCCAGTATTGTGAATTTATCACCAAGACACAGTGTTTGCATGCATCCTCTCTTGGCCTGCCACACTACCTCATCCAACACCTGATTTTCAGTTTAACGATCTGTTGTCTGTTTTCTGCTCTCAAAAGTATTCTACAACATATTTTTTTAGTCGCTGAAAAGAGATTAAATAACTTAATGTAATCCAACCGCCTTCATTTATATAGAAAGTTTATGCTTTATATATAAGAAAAGTACTCATAAATGTAACCACGTCGATGGTTTTAGATATATATTTTTTGAATTGTAATTACGCTGTGGGAAATTGAAAAACATAACTGTTATTCAGCACAGTTTATGGACTGTCACTGTCATCTGATTACTGCTGGAGTGTGAATGCGGGTTATAGGATATTAGCTCCACGTAAATATCCGAGCGTCATATTTCGCCGCTAGCATATTCGGCCTTTATCCTGAGGAAATGAGAATGGCGCTTATACAAAAAGGCAATAAATATGTGTACCGCTTGACATCAAACAGAATACAGCTGGCGCAGATCTGGGTTGCTTTGGAATGGCTTGCATGGAGACTCTTGTTGGCAAAGGAAATAATGAATGCATTTTATGCAACAGCTTTCAAGTCGCATACTTAGTTTGGCCAGACGCGTTTGCGACGTCGAATGGAAAGCCACGAGGCCGCGAGATGGATTTTATGAGCGCACGAGCCAAAGAAGAAAGCGATAGCCTAACACGCACCTGGCGAAGCGCGAGTATTTTGGAGTAAACGGAAAATGTGGCTTCAGTTAGGCAGAGCTGTTGACACACCGCTTAGCAATAGGAGATAAGTGAACAAATATAGTTTGCGAGAGTTCACTTGGCGTAATGGCAAAACTGAAAAGGCGAAGCGAGTGGCGCGCGAGATATTCAAATTCGAGGCGTGTGCATAAACCGGGTACGGCCTCACCTTTGCCAAAGTAATTCCAGTTGAATTAAATTCACGCCGTATTATATTGCACCGTAACGAACGTGTGTGCTTAGAATGTAGGAATTTAGATAACGTTTTCAGATGAGTTGTGCGAACGGAGGAGGAAACTCGGTCTTGCCACCCGTCATCATCGCCGCTGCGTCTGCACCGCCCGCGCCCCGAAGTTTCACGAGTCTCTCCTTTGCACTTCGCGGCAAAATGCGGCGTTTGCGGGATCGCCACATATTCCTAACATGTCTTTCCTTGGATCTGGTCCTTCAAGTGTGTCCTTCCCCTCACGTATTTTTATAGACACTCAAGTACTTGGGATGTGATGGCGAAGTGTATCCATAATGGGCGGGAGGTCAAAGCAGCGCGTAATTAAGTATCTGGCAAAATACCTTGCATTGCATTCTGCAAAAACTTTTATTCCTTACATTTTGAAAAAAAAATTCTGACACCAGTATTACCTTGCTATAAAATACTGTACGATAGTTACACTTCTGCCAGTATGTGTTATATCCCAGAACAGTCCTAAGTACTATCTAAAAATAACCATGCTTGAGTGTGTGTTACTGCTTTAATAATACTATGAAGCAATTAAGATTTTTGTGTAAAGTGAACGTATTGTCATCCTTTCGTACATACAATGCAATTGACGATGCTGTAGGATTCAGCTTTTAGAAACAAATACTATTTTCCAAGTATTCTGTAACTAGCTTAGTAGTAAGATAAAATGAAGTAATATTTTCTAATGCACTGTGTTATTTCATTTTACGATAGGAATATTTCATTAATTGTATTCTTTGATATGAAGACATGCCACTGTCAGTCAGATTGATTCACTAGTGAAGACATGCACTTGTGCTGCAATCTAGGAAGTCGTCTGAATTTTTTATGGATTACATGCTAGAGAAAACGCTAAGTCCTCTTCTGTTTCTCTTCTCACGGTCTTGAACAGATATTAAAGTCTTTAAAAAATACTTCCTAATGCTGTCATACTTTTTTCTTCTTCCTTGATAGGTCTCTCGCTGTCTGCTTACCCTGCATTTTATTACGAGAAAACGCGTTTGGAAAATCTTAGGTACCTGAACGTGCGGTGATTATAATGTGGACGGTTCCGTGTATGAATCTTTGTGTACAAAATGGCGCCAGGAATGATGGAACCACAGTGTGATTGCGGAGTCAGCTGACGGCGTAGCACAAAGGGTCCCAAAACCAAGTGTCTTATCTAATGTTGGAATAAAGCTGCATCAGCTTAAAGTGTCCTTTTAATGATAACTAAACAACATGTACAAATAGACAGGAAAAGAGGCCAGGTCGACAACCTGCGGCGGATGAACCTTGCAGAGCTTGTAGGGAGTTTAAAAGTCAGTGAAACTACTTCTTTCAACATTTTTACGAGTTCATACAAATGTGTTCAAACACAGTATATATTATTAGTAGAATCTGTAGCAAAAGTTTACTTTGATAGTTTGCTTGTTGAAACTTGATTTTGACTTTCTTCAAATTAGAAGAATAAGGATTTTTAACACTGAACATCAATTATTATTATTTACATGACTTGGATGTCGTTCGATTGACTAGTAAAAAATACGCATTTCATTTGACCCACAACCACATTTGTCGAAGAGCCCCGGTCAGTGCCCTGCGCCACGGGCGGCGCGAGGCCAAGTGCAGGAGGTGGAATGTTGGCTCCGGAGGGAAGGCATTCCAGCAATATGACTCATGCCTTGATAGAAGTTCGATAAATAGTTCATAGAAATTCAGTCTTACCGTTAATAATGGTTACTAGCCAAAAGTTCTATAATATTGCTGAATTACCAGGATTGTTATTATTGACAATCTATTATTATTACTAAAGGATGAGCTACGGAAGTCACTGCTCCGAACAACTCGGTTCGTAAACGAAGCTCATGCGCCGGAAGTCCAAACTGCTTTAGCTTGTTGAATATTCACTTTCGGAGTGAATGACTTTGTGTGTGACTGTGTGCGTGTGTCCTTGCTGCTTTGTCCTCTGTGCCACCCGAGTTCAAATACAGTAATGGCGAGTCTGTGTCCAGTCAGTCTTCTCAATCATGTATATTGCGGACCAGAAACAGAGAAAAAAAGTGATTTCTATTTTCATGTTTTAAACCGATAGTATTTATACTAACAAATTGTATTCTAACTGAAGGAAAATAATGAGACTTGATTATGATTTTATTCTTAAAGAGAAAAAAAAATTAGGTCAAATAGCTAGTTTGACAATATCATATTCCCAGAGCAGAAGCTCCTTCTGCTCTGGGAATATGATATTGTCAAACTAGCTATTTTTCCCATTTGCCTTTTAACCGGATCGTAAGGAAGTGTTCTAAAGTATGTCGTAATTTTTAAATTTAATTTCCTGTATGTAATCCAAACAGTTCGTTTCTCCTTTTTCAACAAACTCTTATCAATAATTATTCTGGTCAAAGTGGACAAAGAATCCCCGAAAGAGAGGTCACGACAGCGTTGCGTCCGCCCCGCCTCGCCATCACACGCCCGCTTTGCCTCTGACCCCTCCTGCGCACGCCCTTCTTTGAATTCCGTGTGATTAACTTGGCTTTCAACTCTTATCGGTCACGTGTTGAGTGTTTTAGAGTGGCACTTTATGGCTGTTCTCCTCGCGAAGTTTGCCAGCGCAGCTGCCTCTCTCTACTCGAAGCCGCCAGATGACCTGGTAGGTCTCTGTGCTTCTTGTAGGAATGAAGTGCGTTGCATCTTGAGTCCAATATTGCAAAAAAAAAAAGCTTGGAGGTGACTATGCATGCTTTCTGTTTGAAAGACAGGGAAAAAAACAGATCCCTGATATGCTGACATGTAGCATTGATGTTATGGTAATTGTGACAGCGGCAGATGGGAAGCCATGGGCATGTCAGCGAAAGAAAAACCAGCTCGCACCCGACACGAAACAGTGGTGCGAAGAAGAGAAAAAGTCAGTATCATAGACATGATGTTCTGGGGACGTGAAATGGATATGTAAGCTAGCCTTCTGCATGTTTACTGACTAGAGGAAGTGACGTGCAAGACTATATTCCCTACCTTGTTGCATATAGTGCATCGCATGTAGACTGCAGAGTCAGGCTAGAGACGTGCTCTCGCCGGGTCCAGTAGCTCCCTTCTCCTGCTCCACCTGTCCCCCAGCCTATCCTGACTCCAGAATCGCACCGACCT